TTTAATCTGAATGAATGTGACAAAAGTGCTGAGAAAGTTAAAATAACATTTTTATTAACTGTTTAACAGAATGTATTATTTATACTTCAAGTAAAACTCCACCACTTGCAGGTATTTGAAATAACGGCTAGCTAGTGTTCTAATCAACAAGAATCAGTGTTACATGTCACTTTATAATTATAAAAATGCTGAGTAGATTTATTTGAGCTTTGAATTAATCAAAGTTACTGTGGCACACTCTACAAAAGAATCAAGTAGCTCTGTCGTATTTTCTTTTTCTGTATCCTCAAAGTAATTATTTTCTGTAGCTAAAATACACAAGAATGAAATATTGCTACTGTAATTTACGGAAATTGAAAGGGAAAGAAAGATTAAAAAATTTTCCATTTTTCTGTAGCTGCCTTTTGTGATTCCTAAACAGTTTATCATAGGTTATATTAATATAGATTCTTTAGCATATTCTATACTTGTTTGTTTATTATCATTTAAAAATTTCAACATCTGCTTCCTTATTTTTAAACAATAAAACATTTCATTTCACTTTTTTTTTTTTTTTTTAAATTTTTAGAATCATGGTCACTATGTTTTACACTTTTTTTGGGGGTGAGGGATGTAATCAAAAATACGGATTGGAAAAGTCTGCATTGATGTAAGTTACTGTTAGTAATGCCATGTACTAGCGGTATGATGAAACTTCCAGCAAGCTTTTGTAACTTTTAGCAGTGATTCATCAGATTTAAAAAACTGGATCTGTAGGAATAATGGGCTTTTTATAAATCTTCTGATTAATAGCATATACAGTCAAAAGTCGTTAATCCGGACTCGTCGGGACTTCGGCGATTCCGGATTATCGATTTTTCCGGGTTATAGATCATCAGTTTAAATCTCGTAAGATGGCATGCAGAAATTCTAAAATTAAAATATGAAACTGTAATTTATGAAATAAAGAACAATTATGATCTAAAGGGTATCAAAATTTACGAAAAAAAAAAACTTAATATTTATTTGTTTACTTTATTAAACATTTCTTCAATGTAAGTTGTTTCTTTTATTATGTGATAATACTTTCCTCTTTAATTCTATAAACCGACATATTTCTTGTTCAGTTACAAAGTTCCGTTGTTCAAGTCCTGTAATGCTGTGCCGAGAATACCGACTAACTTGTCAATCGAAATTTTTTTGTTTCACAACTCTCTGTCACTTCTTCAAGTCGTTATCCATTTTTTGCAGCAATTCCACTTTTTGTTTGATGGACATCGAAACATACTTTTGTTTTGTAGATCCTTGGGAGCTCAAGCATCGGAAATTCTTTTTTGACATAACGAAAGTTCAAGTTTTACTTTTTAAAATTTCTCTTACAGTCTGCAAAAATAATAAGCCGCATCCAATTCAAAGATTAAGGAACAACGCAATCATCAACATTAACTGAAATAAATAATTAGATAATTTTAGCTTATACTGTCCGTTATACATTAAATGCGCACGCGAAAACGTATTCTGTGCTTGCGCACATGCATATGCGCAGTCGTAAAGGTATTACGTGCACGCGCAAACGTCTATGCGTATGTGTCAACGCGGCCGCGACGCATGCGCAGAAAGTTTTTAGCTTTGAGGTTCGGATTTTAGATCATTTCGGATTATGGGTGTCTGAATTAACGACTTTTGACTGTATATTTAAATGAAATGCTTATCTGTAGTACAGAGTATCATCCTTGTGCAGGGGCCATGTCTATATCATTCCAATTTTAGTACATCTGCTCAAGTTGCTAAAGTTTCTTTTTGTGATTATATTGTAATTTCTTTATTTTTCTTTTTTCATCTAAATTATTCTTTCATGCTATGAGAACATTTCTTGCATTATTTGAAAGTGTACCTTTTAGACTCAATTTATTTGAAACTCAGTGTCGGTCAAGAGACTCAATTTATTTGAAACTCAGTGTCGGTGTCTTGTGAATTTTCTCTTTTTTTTTTTTTGTGCTATTAAATTGATGTCTTTTCTCACGTATACTTTTCTTTAGGCTTTTTTTTTATGTAAATATTTCCATTCAGTGTTTGATTATTATCTTTGTTGTTAATTTAATATTTATTTTGTCTAATAAATAATAATTTTTTTTGATAATTTGATCCAAATTGTACTGAGCTTCATTTAAAATATGCTGTTTTGCATTCTAAAAATTTAAATTCAAGAATAAAAAGTTCAACCAACAGTTAAGAAATGTAACAAAACAAAGCATTGATTATTCTTGTTTTTTTAGTATGAAATGGCAAAAATAACACTGTTTTTTAGTTGTGAAATCAAAAAACAACATGTATATTGTCTAGGAATAGGAACAATAATACTTAATAGTGTGAATTCATGTGTAGATAATTTTTAATTAGTTCAGTAGCTTTAAATTATATGCATTGTTGGTACAGGGACTTGATTGATTCCTCCCCTTTTCAGCTTTAAAAGACACACAGAAAAAATGTGTGAATAATTTAGAAGCCTGATCATCAATTGAGAATTACCTGTTAATTCTAAGTGTATGAAAGACGAATAAAAGTCATCATTCAGATGCCATTCCAACTGAAGATTACTCTTTTTTCTTACCCGTTAAGAGACTTAAGAGCAAAGACTGCACGACAAAACTATTTTTACTTTGAAAGTGGTTATTAATAGCCAGGAGACCACAAATATTGACTGTTTTCTGTACAATCAATGAACTGCATTTCAGTAACATCTGCCAAGTTGCAATTTACAAGAATGGGCTGAGATGAGTTGGAGACTATGTAAACAGTGTAGTGAGGTGTTATTTGTTGATGAGAGAGGATATACTCTATTTAGTAATCTGAATGCCTGCAAATATGGTGAACGTAGTATTGTGTAATTGAAACAAATCAATATGTTAGCTGTGTTATTCCTGTATTGAGAAGCATTATGCTAGGTGAATGTACAGGTATTCAGATGAGATTTAATGTTTAAGAACTGTGATGGTATTTGGCATTGTACTGTTGGAAAATTAGGACATTTACGAGTAAGACTAGCATAGACTTTTCGTATATATAAATACTATTCATTATAGTAAGAAAGGAAGAGGTTCAATGTAAAAATTAATATTAATGAACAAGAAATAATTACTGACTGCAATTTATTGGAGCTCAGTCCAACTTTATGAAAGTATATCCAACTTTGCTAAAGTCTGAAGGTGAATGTGGTAGAACACAGTGATGTAATGGTTAACATAGTAGAAGCTGTGTTATGAGAAAGTTGGAATGCTTGGTATAAATAGGAGAATCTGTTGAAAGCATGAAAAAAACCTGTTCTAAGCCTCTATTCTATCTTTTCAGTGAAGTACTTCAAAAGTGAAAATTGTCACATGAAGGCAGTAGAAGTTGTAGTGCTTCAAGAAGACAATTTCTACTGTCTTCATGTGATAGTTTTAAAAGTTGGATTTGACAAAAACATTTCGAGGCGATAAGAAAATCTAAGAATGAGATGAGGAAGCTGCTTGCTATCTGAGAAAAAGAATTCCAGGCATCCTTCCAGCAGTGAAAATGGCACTCAATATTCTTTTGAAGAAGATTAAATGCCAAATCTGTAGATGGCATAATCTTTTTAATTACCTCACTCCTAGTACTTTTTGTTCATTACCTTGTTATTCACTTTGTTAATAGGCTTAATCTGTTTTCTTCAGGAATCATGTTGTGAAACCTGTGTTATTCTTTTACTACATTTATAAGAACAATAGGTTCCTAGTACTATAATATTTTGCATTTTGTCTGCATGGTAATTCCATAATAAGTTATATTTGTTTCATTGTCAAAAGAATGGTTGTATTAAAGAAAAAAATTAAGAAAAGCTAAATAAATTATAAGCATTTAGTTGGAGTTATGTTTCCAGATGCCTTCCGTAGTTCCTATATGGCATCCTCTTGATGTTTTATCCTTTGGGAAACCATTTAGATGATAGGTGCTTAGAAGGTGAGATGTGTTTATTACAGTAATTTGGACAGTCATTTATTCTGAATACAGCATGTTTTGTATGCTCAAAAAAGAAAATGGTAATGCTGAATTCTCTTCTGAAATTTAATTGCAGTAAAAAAATTATTATCCTAACTTCAGTTATTTTGATCTCCAGTTACATATCTGGGTTGCTTATCCAGTTGCATGTTCATTCTCTAGCCAAGTAAAACTATGCTTGTTATTTATTTATTTGCATTTTAAATTTTTTCTCTGCCATAAATAATATATAAAATAGTAATGCAGTACACCTGTATTTTAAAGGTATTAAATTAATTTATGAATATGTGTAATAAGGAGATAAAGTTAATTTATGAAAATGTGTAATAAGGAGATAAAATTAATTTATGAATATGTGTAATAAATAAGATTGGTTTACAATCTTTAGCAAGTATGTAAACTCAAAACATCAATTGAAAAGCAATTGCTTATTTATATAGGACTAAAATTTTTTGTTTAACTTTCTTAAGTCCTTAATTTAGTGTAAGAAGATTGTCTTTTCTAAAACTAGTGTAAATGAGTGATGTTTTCTTTTTCATGGAACAGAAATATAAACATAAATTGTCATATAATATCCAATGCAATTGCTGTCAGTAACTTTTTTAATCGTTTTGGTACAAGTAAATAAAAATTCCATTATTTAATTTTCATACTTCTCCTCCCCCAGGAAAAAAAGTGTATAATACTTTTACAGGTAAAGAAATAATTAGTTGTGAAATCTTTCTGGAGATTAGATATGATAAGAAATAAAATTCAGTTATTTATATTACAATAAATATATATTTGCCCTCCCATCCTGGTCTGTCAAAAGATGTTTTTCAATTTTTGAATTTTTTGAAAATGCAGTTTTTGAAGTTCTGTTTTATTAATGAAATTAGAAAATTATATTTAGTGGTATACAGTTTAAAATTTTTATTTCACTTTTTGGCTGTTATCAAATTATATAATGCATTATATATTATCATTTATTGAAAATAACATTTCTGTATTTTTTCCTTCAGGGTTATACATATTGAAAAATAAAAAAATCTAACTGGAAATCAAAAACACTTTGATTTAGCATCTTCACCTTGAAGAACTATTCATCTTATATTTGGAAGAAATTGCTACTGGCAGCTTCTAGCAGATTTGTAAACTGATGCAAGGTTCACATTAAATTTTTTAGTTTTGCCGGAAGAAACTTTTTCATTAACTTGTCCTTGATATGTTATTTTGTATGTTGCTGATGAGAAGATTTTCAAAGTAAGTTTCTATTTTGATGTATGAAGAATGTTAATATAGGAAGAATGAATTTCTGATCTTAAATTTCTGGTATGTAATTTGAAAGATCCCCCTTTCCCCGGTAGCATTTAAAACTTAAATAATCATCAGCCATAAATTATGTGTTCATATTGTAATTTAGGAAACAGAAACAACACATTTTTGCAGCATTGTGTACTGTTTGCACCTGCTTTGTACTCTTTTCCTCTTTTGCTTATTAAAATAAAACAATATATGCTGTAAATTACTGTGGAAGAATGTTGAATTCTCTAAGTAACGTATCTGTGGTATTAATTATGCTTTCTGACCATTCATTGAAGAGTGCTTTATCACTATTTGGGACAAACGGAAAAAACTGCTGTTTATTTGTGCATGTATACTCTAAAATGCAAAATAATTCTCTCTTATATTGTTCATTTGTTTATATATGAGGTATTTGCCAGTTTGTTGTATTTATGCATGCTTTCATCCTTACATATTGAATGAAGAATTTACATGCAATTCTTATTAAACATTTAATCAACTTTACTTTGAAAATCTTTTCTTGTAGTCAGACCCGGTTTTTTCTCTACAGTTGAATATATATATATAAAAAAAAGTAACAAATTGATGAAATTAAAAAATTTCCTGCCAAACTATGTGATATCTGCTTTGAACTATACACTTGTTGAAGTTTTGTTTCAATAAAATTTTTGATGTTTTAACATTTTAGAGACAGGAAATACATATTTGCCTTCTTTTATTTTATTGATAATATTAAACATTTTAAACTACCTTTTCAATTTAATTTAACGCTTTGGAAAATATATTTAGTTATGTTAAAAATGTTCCTGTATTTAATTATAGTAATTGTCTTGCACTTAATTATATTTAAAATAACTATAAATTAAAATAATAAAAAGGAAGCTAAAGTAATTATATTTTTAAGTTTAGATACTTTATTTTTTTATATTAAGAATAATAAAAAAAAATTACATATAAAATTAGAAACTTTTTCATTCCATTGATTCATAAGCTACAGATGAAATATTTTAATACAGTATATGGTATAATAATTAGAACAGTGAGATGTAACTAGTCAGGTAAACAAAATCAAATCATTTAAAATGAAAGTTACTGATCATTCCAATTCTTTTTAATATATTAGTTCATTGGAGGATGATAAATTTGATACTATAATTATAGTATGTTGCAAGGCATCCCGAATCAATATAAAAATAACTTCAATGTGTATAAATAATTGAGGATTATTCATATCATGTGTATGTAAGATGCCATTTGTAAAGAAAATTAGTTATATGCCAAAGTTGTGATGATAAATTATTGTATGGATATGTGATAATTATGTACTTTTTAAAATGTTGGTGACTGAAAAATTATCTTAAGTACATCAAACATATTTATACTTTTAGGAGCTAAAGAATTGTTTGGGAGATCATTTTCACTCACTGTTAATATAAAATCTTTCATTCCTTCAGTCAAGTTATGTGACATTTTAGAAAGCTCATGCCAAATTATAAAGATTTATAATTGTAGAACAACATGCAAAATAAACTATATATTAAGTTTGTGATTTTATATTAATTTTGAAATGCAGTACATATCATACAGTTTACAAGAACACTTTATTCATCTCAAAAACCTTAAACCATGTATCATTTTTAATTATGTTTAATCAGTTTATTATAAAGAGTTTTTGAAGCTGTCCCATTTTTTTGTGCTTGGTGTACATTAATTATTAATTTTATTTTCATCATATTTAAAAGTATGTTGATAAATAAAAGCTTTCCTATTTTGCTGAGGATTTTCTAAGCATGAAGGTGTAAGGAAATCAAAGTATGAAATTAGCTAAAAACCATGAAATTCAAAATATCTAATTAATATATTTTATATCAGAATCATATTATGAAGAATTGATAATCTGAATTATCCTGAATCATGCATTGTAAAGTACATATAAGTCAGTTTGGAGTTCCTTGAAATAGCACCACCATGTGCTTGAAAACCTTTTGGAATCTCGTAATTAACTGTACATGAATCTTCAATTTTCTATATTTCAAGGTTGGAAGCTGTATGTGTTAATTCTAAGACAAACATCCAGCCTTTATGAACATTCACTGTTTTAGATGTTTATATTTGAAATTATTTATACAGTCAAAAGTCTTTAATCCAGAATGATCTATAATCTGGACCGCAAAGCTACAAAGACACATGCGCATAATACCTTATGCATGTGCATATGCATAATACGTTTACGCATGTGCATTTAATGTATAACAGACGGTATAAGCTAAGCTAAAATTATCTATTTCAGTTAATGTTGCAGATTGCGTTGTTCCTTAATCTTCTAATTGGATCCGGCTTATTATATTTTTGCAGACTGCTAGAGCAATTTTATAAAAGTAAGCTTGAACTTTCGATTATGTCAAAAAGAATTGTCCTATCCTGGAGCTACCAAAAGGATCTACAAAGCGAAGAGCATGTTTCAATGTCCATCAAAAACAAAAGTGGAATTGCTGCAAAAGATGGATAAAAGCATATCCTTTGATTCTCTAACCATCCCGAAATATGTTTATCAATTTCACGATTATTTTATTCGGCTTATAATTCCTTACTAAATGTGGCATTTCATCTTGATGTACTCCGTCTTTGATATGATTTAAATCAAATTTCTCATCATTATAAATATCACGAATACACATCAAATAGTTTTCTGGTTGCAATTTTCTAATTTCGACTATGCGTAATGTATGCTTTACACTTGTGCGTGTGAAAGAAAATGTTTTAATAAGTAAACAAATAAATATTAAGCGTTTTTTTGTAATTTGATACCCTTTAGATCATAATTGCTCTTTATTTCATAAATTATGGTTTCATATTTTAATTTTTAATTTCTTGCATGCCATTACCAGATTTAAACTGATGATCTATAGTCCGGAATCACCGAAGTCCCGACGAGTCCGGATTAAAGACTTTTGACTGTATTTGCAAATAACATTTTTTCCCTGAATGAAGCATATGAAAAGTAAAATAGTAACATAAGTTTCAGATGACGTTTGAATATACTCTTCATGATATCTTTCATGTCTATTAAAATAAATACATTGTACATGCATATGAAGGACACATAACTATCACCTGATTTGTAACACATTTCATTTGTCAATTTTCATGTAATGTTGATTAATGTTTTGCTATTTTCACCCAGAATGCAGTTTTTTTCCAACATCTGAAATTATTTGGGTTTTCTCCACCTAAGAAACAGCTAGAGGGGGAAGATGCCTAAAGCCATAAAAGACAGTTGCTACTGCTACACATGTTAGATTAGAATTGTCTAAAAATGTCCCATGAGGATCAAGTAGAGCTGCAAGTTATCTGTTGCATATCAGCAAATGAGCACAAAGCAAAATTGAAGCTGCTGTTTACATTTTTGCCATTATTAAATGGTGATTGTGAACTTAGTTATGTCTGCAAAAGAAATAAAATATTCATGTATTTTTTAAGTACCAATATATAGGTAACTTTCCTTGTGCTATTTCACCAAAGAAATGTAATACATTCATCATATTTATTGGTTATCACTGCAGTTTTTTTATTTTTCTTGTACTGATATTTTAAGAAAACCAAACTCTGCAAATTTTGTTAAGTAAATGAATACTGATTAAAACATCCTTCATAAAAATGTACAAGGAATGCTTTTATACATGTGATTATTTTCGTACAGTTTGCTTTCAAGAATTAATGTCTGTATTTTTAGGTATTAATTTGTTTCTTTTTAAATTTAGTTCATTATTTAAAACATTTTTCATATCTGTGTATTTTTATCATTTAAAAAGGATTTTTGTTACTAAGAAAAACCTGCTGACTTTCGAGTTTGGCAACTATGTGTACATTCTGATATTCAAAATACAGCCTCGGTGTTCACATTAAAAATAATCATATTTATTTCCTAACAGATAGCTTTGATTAAAATGTAAATGTAATTTTATTAGATGCAGTAATATGAATTGTACTGTAGTTATTAATATGTTGCAAAGTTTTGAAAATTTACGGAAATTACTTGCAAGGCATTTCTGTTCCAAACATAAAGTTCTGATTATTGGAGGCTTAGAAATCTGGCAGTTAAAATGTACAGAGATCTGTTTTTGAGCCCCCCACCCTAAAAAAAAAACCCAAGTTTCTTTGCGCAACAGCAATGTTGCGTTACACCATAATATGAAATATACTGTAATCATTCTATATGTATCATCTGTAAAGTGTGCGCAATCTACTATTCTGTACATTGCGCGCAGAATTGGTAGTCAGAACACAGATAATCTGTGTTCTAACTACCAATTTCAAGTTTCACACATATTGCATGATTTTCCCACAGTTTAAATTCTCTAGAGGATTATTTGTCACATAGTGTTGGCCTTGGCCCATTTTTGCTGTGATAAGAGGGCCAGAAGCTTCAATTTACTTCTGCAAAATGACTCATTATATTAATAAATTATCTTAAACTAGTACGAATCTCCCGAGAAGAAATTTTTACGAATAAATAAACCCATGAAAATAAAGTTGCATCTTTTTTATCTTTGATGCAAAGATTTGCCCTTAGTAATGATTAACCAAAATATTATTACTACTTTCCTAATAGTGCGTTGCATTACAGTTGCCATGCAATACTGCTGGTGCTCATTATTCCACAAGTCACTGTTAAGTGTTGAGGATGATTGTACCAAATTTGATAGCAGAGTTCATGCAGTTCTAATGGATTATGAGGTAGTGGCTGGTGAGTTGTGAGCTATTGCTGCAAGATATTTGAAATGTGCTTGAATGTGATTATTAGCAAGACATCAATTACAGTTCATCAATATATTCCTCAAATAATTATACAATCAAACCTTGCTATAATGATTGCAGCGTATAACAAATTCCCAGATATAACTATAAGGTGTTTTCTCCCTCATTTTTGCATGCCTGCATGTTGTAACTGGAAGTGCATTTGACATGCATTCCAGATGTCTGGAGTTTGAATCTTGGTGAGGGCATTTCACATTTTTGCATTGATATAACCTTATGACAAGTGGTGCCTAAACTGAAAAGCTGGTGGACAATAATTTGTCACCACCAGGATTTGGTGATTGGGTCCCCTCATTCCAAAACGGGGATTATATAAGGATTTTCTCCCTCCTTTTTAAATACATTTATGGTGTAACTAGAATCTCACTCTAGGGGTATTCGTTAGGTCTGGAGTTTGAATCTCGGTGAGAGCACTGCACATTTTCCATGTTCCTGCACCAATATAACCTAATGACTTTATATAACATGCGAATCTTTTGGTCCTTTTCAGTTTCCTATATACTTAATTTATATGGCTGTAGTGAACTTTCAAAGGATACGCAAATCATGTGCAATGGTCTGTATGGATATCTTCAATCTAAATATTCTTTTTTTTTGTATTTTTCATAGTTTCCCCAGAAATTCCATAAGTTTTAATGAAAAAATTACCAATGCTTAAAAATTATCCACAGGTAAGATGTTAGGATTCTCATTCCACATCCTTTCATAAAAAAAAAAAAAAAAAAAAAAAAAAAAAACCTGATGTTGCATTTCTTTTAAATAAAAATTATGCGAAATAGGTGCGTCACCTAGTTTAGGAGAACGAGGCACAATAAGCAAATCTTAGGACTTCGTATGTTATCTATATGTGGTATGTGTGACCATTAGCAATAATGAGCATAAGTGGACTTATCGATTCCATTCAGATTCTTTGAATGAGTTGTCAAACAAAGCTTTACTATAATGATACTGTAATCTACTAATTTGATGAATTTGGTAATGAAAATTTTGAAACTTTTACTATTCAGAGAAAGAGGAAGTAGTCAATTATATAAATTTGGATTATATTGCTGATTAAAAGGAGTGAAACTTCTTTATTCGTATCCTTTTTTTACCTCCTTGTACGAAGTAAAGGAAGTTGTAATCACGAAAAATTCCGTGTACCTATTTCAATGAAAATATCCATTTTGACCACTATTGAATGCAATTTAACTGTGTTTTTGCATGACATCTCTACATAAGGACAGAGTAAAGGACTTTGTTTTTTCCCCCCCAAACAAATTATAAAACATTTAAAATGGAATCGGAAAAGATTTTTTCGTGGCATTTGTATGTACGTACTATGATGTATTTTGCAGTAATTTACAAAACAGACAATCTTCTTAGTAGAACATAAATTTTATTTCTAGTTCACGATGATAGACAAATTTTATACAATTCTTTAGTGGCAAAATTTTCATACTACTCCTAGCTGGTAAAATCTGCGGAATTCTAATCTTTTAAAACAATATCTCACGTTGCTGAGTAACGGTTTAATACAAATATGGCGTTGCCACTTCAACAATAATTATATTTATTTATTAAATACTAAGATATTACACCCTCTCCACCCTCCTATAAATTAAAGTTTACATTTTTTTTTTTTTTTTCAAAACAACAATATCAGCACAATACAGAATTGAAATACAAGATATAACATAATAACATACACTGAGGAAGAGAGGAAGGAACAAAATATTTTTTTTTATCTAT